CCTGCATACAGTTACAAAAATAACAGATGGGTTATGACCTATAATTTTTTTAAAGTGTTGCTTAACACATGCTTTTCACATTTAAGGTCAAGCTTATATATGATTTTTTTTATAGTTGTTTTTACTGGGCTGACTAACGCATGACTCAAGCCACTAAATCTGATGGATTTAGTGATGTTCAACATCGCTTCAATTTATCGTGGCATCTTCTAAAAAATAATTTCTAAAAAATACCGAGGTCGATCATTAATTACTGCACATTCAATTTAAAACTTTAAAGTCTGCTTTGATGCCTTGTTAAGCTTTTCTTTCTTTTATATACTTTTTAAAATCGCTACCCAACATCAGAACTGATTGTCGAGGCATTTATGTCCTAAGCTACGGGTGTCCAGCGCCCTTCTCTCTTTTAAGGTCTATATTTACTGGATCGTTTTTGGATGTACAGCGCTGCCAGTACGTGCAAGGAGGGATTGAAGCTGGTGAGATACCCGTTCATGTCGTGATAATTAGTGATGTTCTCTGCTGAATCACCTGCTTCTTCCCACAGAGGAAAGCGCCCAAAACGGTGAATTTGAAGCAGGCTCCGAATCGGATCCTGGAATTTAATATGCGGTACCTTACGATTTCTCACCCCGGCGGCTTCTGGCTCATTAGGTTTTGGTTGGAAGAGGAGGACTCCAACCAGCGAGCATCGTTTCTCCTTGCGGCCAAGGCCCTGGCTTTCAAAGCCGCTAAACAAATACATCTCAGGGGATTTTCTGGGCATTTAAATCACCCGTAAGTTGGATTTGGCATTCGATTCGCTAATACTTGCTCACCTGACTGTCTAAACAAAACTACTTCAGAGGGACCGAGTGGGAGTCGGTGACGGCTAGCAGGTAGGAGGGGGCTGCCTCCTGGGGCACCTCTGGCCTTGAAAAACTATATGATGGATACGTGAAGAAATCGCACACACGCTGTGTGGGAAACACGCGTGGGGTCGTGAGTGGTTTGGGGTACTCCTTCCGTTAGCATCAGAAATCTACCTTCTGTTAAACAAGATATATATGTTTACATATATTTTAATGATACATTGTGGTATAACAACACGGAGTCCCAGCAGGGGTAGGTTTATCAATTACGTTTATTGCAATTACCGTGGCTTTTTGTTTGGATATACAACCTTTCTTGCAGGAAAAAAGGGAGCAATACCGTCGATTTTAGGATGACGTGATGTGCGTAGGGTTGTATTTGGCAGCGACTTAAGCGATGAAGTGGGTGAGTCCAGGTGTCGGCGAAGGGACACAGCTTGCGTGGAGGGCTGGGAGAGCCCAGGCTTTGCTCGCCCTCCCCGCAGCTGCTGCCCTGCTGAATATAGCTGCCCGGCAGTTGCACGGGCTGCCGGCTCTCGGGGAGGGGGAAGGCAGCTGCGGTGCCTGCCGGGGGTTGCGCCGGGGATTCGGTCTCCCCTGGAGACCCGGCGCGTCGCCCCGCTGCTCTTTGTTCGCGTGCGTGGGCTCTGCCCGTGGGAAAACCCTGGTCGCCGGAGGGGTGGATCATAAAACGGGATCGCGACAAAGGAGCTGACGGAGGGTGTGAGTATCAGCTTGTTTCCCACTTCCAAGTATTGTTTGGGAATACATTCTTTTCTCCTTTTTTTTTTTCTTTTTTTTTAATTTCTTTTTAAGTTGAGTTTGCTGTTGATGCTCCCTTGGCTGGCCTCTCCATCGCTAGCCCGGCACTAGCTGGGTGGGTACCGGCAAAACCACCCTGCTGGTGTTTTCCTAATGCCGGCACCCTGGTTTGGGCTGGAGTTGCTGGAAGAGGCTTTGGTATTCCCGGGGCTCTGAGGATGCCCGCCTGCGACCGCGCGGCGCAGAGCCTACGCACGGGGATTTTGGCAGCGCCGGTTTCGATGCTCTGCGGGGAGCCCTCAAGGTGTCATTTGTGTTGAGAGTATTTTTGGGTCCTGCTTGGTGAACGCAAGCTGAGGCGCTCGGCTGTGGCTGGGGTTTAGAAAAAGAGGGTCCTTCGGTGGCTTTGATTTGGTTCGTTGGTTGTCCTGCTGCAGCTCCTCGCCCGAGTCCAGCGCGGGCAGCGAGAGGCTGGTGGTGGAGCATCTCCGTGCGTGGAGCACCCAGGGCTCAGGTTTCGAGAAAAATATCTTGTCTTAGAAGGATTTGCAGCAAGATGCAATGGGTTCGGCTGTACAGCACGCTTCAAAATGTGTCACCGGTTGAGCAAGTATTTCCATTAATTAATTTCACAAAGAGTTAATTTCATGAATCCGAGGTAGAAGCTGCAGAGCTAAGCGCCAGGTTTGGGTTTTACAGTCCCCTCTAATTTTTTATATATACTTCTCGCTTCTGGGTGACTTGCATTTCAAGGTTTTGAGTTTGTCTCTTAAATCCCCTCAACTGTCCACCCCAATGGCCTTCAGGGCTCAGCCACGCTAATAGGTGCTTTACCTCCTCGTTAATGATGTCTCATTTGGGCTCAGTAACCTCACAGTGCACAAACTCTTTGTGAGATTGGGCATTAATTCAGGAGACAGTTGCACCGTGCCGGCAAAGTATAAAGCACAGGTTTGTTCTCAGAGCTGCCAGAGCTTTAATTAGATTTTCCCTGTATGTCGTGTCCTCAAAACCAAAGCCAAAGGCCAGTTTGCTCTTTCCTCTGTCCCACTTGATGCACCGAGATGCAATTTTACGGTTTTTGGGGCCTGACCCAAACATGCTTAAGCTCTTCGTTATTAGACATACCAGGTTTCTTTACTTGGCGTGGTGACGAGGGGGGATGGCGAGTTGCCGCTACTGTGTGTTGTGTATTTCAGAGAGCCCGAGGCTCGGCATCGTCTTGCAGAAGAAGTTCTGTCCCGATGGCCGTGGATGTGGGAAAATCACTTTTTGAAGCTTCACTGAGCGGGAAGGCCGAGGGCGATGGGAGGTGGGACTGCGCAGAGGTGGAGTCGGACTACCCGGAGCTAGGGGACAGCCTGCGCCGGCTTTTAGGGGCAGAGGAGGCCAAGCCCTGCCCGCAAGGGACGGAGAGCGTGGCAATGAGCGGGCGCAGTCC